GTGTTTGGTATTGTCCCTTCCTTCTCAATTTTTTGGAAGAGTTTGTGAAGGATAGGCACTAATTCGTCTCTGAATGTTTGGTAGAATTCATTTGTAAATCCATCAGATCCTGGGCTTTTGTTTTTGGGGAGGTTTTTGATTACCATTTCAATTTCGCTGCTTGTAATTGGTCTGTTTAGGTGTTCTATTTCTTCTTTATCTAGCTTTGGGTGATTGTAGAGTTGTAGGAATTTGTCCATCTCCTCTAGATTGTTAAACTTGTTTCCATATAACTGTTCATAGTAGTTACTAATTATTCTTTTGATTTCTGCTGTGTCCGTTGTGATTTCTCCTCTTTCATTGATGATCCTGTTTATTTGTGCTTTCTCCCTTTTTCCTTTGTGAGCCTGGCTAGGGGTTTGTCTATTTTATTGATTTTTTCAAAGAACCAGCTCTTGGTTTCATTGATCTTTTGGACTGTTTTTTTAGTTTCAATTTCATTTATTTCTGCTTTGGTTTTTATTATTTCTTTTCTTCTACTGGTTTTGGGGTTTTTTTGTTGTTCTTTTTCTAGATCTTTGAGCTTCGAGATTAGGTTGTTTCTTTGAGTTCTTTCTTGTTTCTTGATGTGAGCTTCTATTGCTATATATTTTCCTCTTATTACTGCTTTTGCTGCATCCCATACATTTAGGATATTGGTGTCCTTCTTGTCGTTCAATTCAAAGAATTTTTTAATTTCTTCTTTGATCTCCTCATTAGTCCAGTGGTCTTCCAGTAGTGTGGTTTTTATTCTCCATGAGGTAGGAAAGTTCCTTGCCTTCTTTTTATGGTTTATTTCTAGTTTGATGCCTTCATGGTCAGAAAAGATGGTTGATATGATTTCAATCTTGGTGTATCTGTTGATGTTTGTCTTGTGCCCCAGTATGTGATCGATCCTGGAGAATGATCCGTGTGCGCTTGAGAAAAATGTGTACTCCGTTTTTTGGGGGTTTAGTGTTCTATAGATGTCTGTTAAGCCCAATTGCTCTAGGTCTTTATTTAGAGCTTTGGTTTCTTTACTTATTTTTTGTCTTGTTGATCTATCCATTGTTGATAGTGGTGTGTTGAAGTCTCCCACTACGTATGTGTTTTCTCTGATGTCTGTTTTCAGAGAGGACAACAGTTGTCTGATATATTTTGGTGCTCCTTCGTTTGGTGAGTATATGTTAATGAGTGTTATTTCTTCTTGAAGTATTGTCCCCTTGATCATAATGTAGTGACCATTGGGGTCTCTTTTTATCTTTTTGAGTTTGAAATCTGCTTTATCTGATATAAGTATAGCTGTTCCTGCTTTCTTTTTTGGTCCATTTGCTTGTAGGATTGTTTTCCATCCTTTAACTTTGAGCCTATTTTTATCTTTTGTAGCTAAATGTGTTTCCTGGAGACAGCAAAAGGTTGGGTTTTGTTTCTTAATCCAGGCTGCCACTCTGTGTCTTTTTATTGAAGAGTTTAGTCCATTTACATTTAGAGTTAATATTGATATGTTAGCATCTGAATTTGCCATTGTGTTTGTCTTTCCTTTGATTTTATTTATTTATTCTTTTAATGACTTTTTTTTTTTTGGCCTTCTTTCATTGTTATTCGTCCCTCTGAGGTTCTGGCTTTAGGACTCCTTGTAGTATTTTTTGGAGTGGGGGTTTAGTTGTAATGAAATTCCGGAGTTTCTGTTTGTCTGGGAAGGTCCATATTCTTTCTTCAAAGAGGAAGGAGAGCTTTGCGGGATAGAGTATTCTTGGTTGGCATCTGTTTTCTTGGAGTCTGTTGACTATGTCCCTCCACTCTCTCCTTGCCCGTAGTGTTTCTTCGGAGAAGTCTGATGTCAGCCAGATTGGCTTTCCTTTGAATGTTATCTGTTTCTTCCCTCTTTCCAGCTTCATTATTTTTTCCTTGTCCTGGATTCTTGTGAGCTTTACTATTATGTCTCTTGCTGTATTTTTCCTTTCGTCGTGGAAGTTTGGTGTTCTTCTTGCTTCTTGTATATCAATTTTCAGCTCCTTCTTCACATTTGGGAAGTTCTCTTCAATTATCTCTTTGAATATTTTCTCTGTTCCTACATCTCTCTCCTCTCCTTCTGGTATTCCTATAACTCTTATATTTCCTTTCCTCATGGAGTCAGATAGTTCCCGTAGTCTTTCTTCGTTCTTTTTCCTTCGTACTTCTCTTTCCTTTTCTGTTTTGGTTCTTTTTATTTCTGTGTCTTCAAGAGTACTTATTCGTTCTTCCATTTCATCTATTCTGCTTTCATTGCTTTTCCCAGAATTCTTTAGTTCTTCCATTAATTCTTTGATCTCCTGCATTTCTTTTACTTCCTTCTTTAGGGACTCAATTTCATTCTTCTGATCATTGATTATTTTTCCCTTATCATTGTTTTCCTTTATGACTTCTGTCAGTTTTTTAATCACGGCAATTTTAAATTCTCTTTCTGGAAGGCTCAGGAGTTCTTCCAAGTTACTGTCGTTGCAATCTGGGGGCTGGTTTTCTTTTTGTGGTGTGCTTTTTCCCTGGGGAGTTGCTAGGTTGCATGTGGTTCTTCTCCTCCCTACTGTCTGTTTTCTAATTTGCCATATGCGTTGGGACACTGTGTTGTTGGGACTGGCCGGCATCTTGGGTGAGCTTCTCTGCTCCCCTCTGAAAGGTCCCTGTTCTAAAATGCTGATGTGGGGACACACTCCCTTGTGCGCCTGGTCTGCCCCGGCGGTGGGTTCCTGCTCCCCCTCTGGGCTTGGACTGCAGGCCAGAGGGGGTCTGGTGTGGGCGAACTTCCCCCGCTCACCTCTGGCTCCTGAGGAAGCCTTCTGCAGGTAGTCTTTACTGAAGAAATGTCCCTGTTCTAAAATGGTGATGTGGGACACACTCCCTGCGTGTCCAGTCTCAGGCACACTCTTCTGCGCGCCTGGTCTGCCCTGGCTGTGGGTGCTCGCTCCCCCTGTGGGCTCAGACTACTGGTCGGAAGGGGCCCGGCGTGGGCTACCTCCCCAGCTGGCCACTGCCTCCTCCAGGAGCCTCTGCTGGTTTCAAGTCGCTAGGTGGCGCCATAGATCTCTCCTAGAGTCCTTGGGGAGCTGATTTTCCACCCCATGGGACAGGGAGCAGAGCGAGAATGGTAGGGTAAACCTCAACGGCTTTGGGGTGCTGTGTCTGCCTTGTGCCCCACCGTCGTGGGGAACCCATGCCCCTAATTTCGTGCCCCGGGTCTCAGTTCCAAAGCCCTCAGTTCCAGGACACGGGCTGTAGCCCAGTTCAGTGGCGCGGGAATGGCGCCTTTTGAATCCCGCTCCTGTGCCTGGGCGCCTGGTTCCTGCTCACTCAGTGAGGGCCTCCGCGCGTCTCCCCGCAAGCCTAGGTCGCAGGCGCGGGGACCTGGGCAGCTGTGATCCGGATCTGCGTTTGCTTTTCAACTGCACTGCTTTTCCGCGCGATCCCGATTCCGATCTGCACTTGGTTTTCCAGCGCGCCGCTTTTCCGCGCAATCCCGATCCCTATCCGCGTCTGCTTTTCCAGTGCGCTGCTTTTCCGCGCAAGCTTACCGGGCGGCCCAGGGCTGTGTGCTGGTGCTGGTCTTCTCCTGGGGGGCGGGGTCTCTCTTTAATAGCGCCCGGAGCTCACCTCCACGAGAATCCTGCAGGGTTCTCCGCAGCTCCTGTTCACGGGGTGTGGTGGCTGCAATAGTTCCTTTCCACTCACAGTCCCGCTTGCTGCGTAGTTTGTTCTTGTTGGTCGTTTTAGTTTTTTTTTTTTTTTTCCCTCCTCTCTGCTGGTCGGAGAGTGCCGACTCTGTGGGCGGGGGAGGGGAGCAGGGTTCTGTGCTTTCCTCCCTTCTGGTCCTCTTTTATGGCAACTTTCTTCTTCGGGCAGTTTGCTGGAGTCACCCCTTTATCTTCCGTGTCCCAGTTCTCACTGGGACCTGCTGCTTTTCCTCCCTATTAACTTTTTTTAATGGGAGATCTTACTCGCAGCGTCTCCTCACCACCATGTTGCTCCGCCCCCTCTATTACTTTTATTTTCAATGAAAACAGATTATCTGTGAATTAGTAAGTGGGATCTTATTTGCTTATTGATCACATACAAACACCAGTGCATGAATGATGAAAAAGCAATCACTGAAACTTTTATTGACTTAATAGGCATGAGTTTAAAAATAAGTGAATTAATATGTTCATTTTAAGTCAATTATTTAAATTTGAGGGGAGTATAGCTTCAAACCTGTTCTAATGTATGTCTTCATAACATGCCCACCACCAAAGCACCAACAATTCTCCTAAGACAAACGCAGTGATGTAAACCAACTTTAATTCAATAAACATAATTGGGGAAAAAGGGAAATGTTAAAAATATGAAATAAGATTATTTTTGCCTTTTAATTCAATAACATTATACTTACTTTCTTTCTCTCATTTCTTCATAACTTAAATCTTTAGGCTTATGATTTTCTTTAATGTTTTTCAAATGAAATCCAAAGTTTTTTCTTCTTTTGAGCAGGTCCCATCTGACAAATGGTAGATAAACTATACTAATTGGAAAACAGGCCAGTTTTAAAAAATGAACTTAGTAAAAATGTTTCTTGTAAAATTACTTTTTCTGGAGTCATAAAGTAGCAAAATATCTTGGATTTTTATCTTAAAATAGATGACTAGAATAAATGTATTCTGTGATTTCAATATATGTATATAAATATTATACTTTCCACTTAATACACCAAAAGTTTCTATAATAAATATTTAACTCCAATTGTATCCTATCGCCTTAGGATTTTTTGAAGAAAACGCCTTTAGGGTTGAGTCTAAAGATCCAAAAATCTAGTCTTCTACCATTGTTTTGGTACTGACTATTCCAGAAATGAAAGAAAGTGTTATTTTATAGATATTTAATCATAATTCTTTAGGGCTTCTTAGAAAATGTGTGAAGAGTTAATTTTTAATATATTTATATATAATTTATAATATATTTAATATATTTTTTATATTTGATTTTTCTCTTCTCAGATTTCTTTAAGGGAAAAACAGTATTTAATCATTGGCTTCCAGGAATATGTTATAGCAATATCACCTTTCAGTTGGTCTCTGAGGCAACATTTAATAAAAGTACTCTTGTGGAGTACAGTGGTGTTAGTCATGAACCCAAACAGCACAGAACTGGTAAGTCTACTAAAGAATCAAATTCAGTGACAAAATAAACTATATGTTGTACATTCAATCATTGTAAGAACAATTCTTTTCTAGAACTAAGAAAAATATTTTTTTATAATGAAAAACAAATGTTTAGAAATGTAAAAGAAACTGGGCAAAATATCCCATAAGAAAAATATAAGATATGTTATAATCTTTGAATTGGAAAGTATATGATACTACCAAAAGTTATAATTAACTAATTTAATTGAATCAAGTAAACCTTCTATAACCTGGCAAAATGTTCATATAGCAGAAAAATAGATGGGGTGGGGGGTTAATGCAGAGTATAAGATTAGTACAGGAAATACTGGGATTCAGATGTATTGCAAACTTGCAGATCTTAATTTTGGTAACATTATTAATATGAAAGACTATGATAGGATGCATTGATGGGTGGGTGGATGAATGAGTGGATAGACAGATGGAAGAGTGGATGAGTAAAATAAATATGCACCTACTAAACACCCATCACCAATAACAGTGTAAGTGACACTGCCTGTGCATAGTATGCTACATTCTCAGTAGGGCTGCCTGAGAGGCCTTTTATAAGTGCATTGTGAGTGGATTGATAGATGATCCCTGAAGCCCTTCCAATGAAATGCTAAGATGTTGTAATTCTCATTAATTAGACCAAGACAAGGAAACTATTTCAGCTAAATAAGTAATTCACCTCACATCAATAGCTAAGATTCTATTTGCGTTTTTCATGACTCAACTCAAGTAAGCAGCACTAACTGAGTATCTTCTCCCTGGGAATTATTCTAAATCCTGAGAGAGTTGAAGACAAAGTCTAGGGAGTTATGTCCTCGAAAATAGTGGAAGGACTCTACAAGTGACAGAATGCAAAGCGGAATGTGATAAGTATTACACAAGAGGCACAAAGTTGTATAACAGCAGGAAGGAGGGAGAGATCATTTGAAGTTCTTGGAAGAGGTGATATTTTAGCAACTATTTGAAAGACAAGGTAGAAACTTGCAATGTGCCTTCTTAATTCTCTCGAACTAAGCCTGTTTCTGTCATTTATAAACTCATTTTGAGTTTGTGATTTCTGATGACAGCCTGAAGGTTCAGAAATGCTTTCATCTGACTGCAGTGCTTGTATATTTCACTTTGGAGAAGGGAGGAGGGAAGCCATATTTCCAATATTGTGTTAATGTTTCTAAATGCAGCTCATAATGAACTCTCCTAAGTGCAACTGTGTTATATGGATTGTTTTTATCAAGATAGCTATATATACACTGTAGGAGATTTTCTGTAGGAAAGATCCAGGGACTTCACTTTTTTCAAAAGGAGTTTGTGGTAAACTGAAGATGACTTCCAGAACTTTTCAGAAGTGGTTAAATTACCACACAGACAAGCAGAGTATCTCAAGTTAATATATTTGAAGTGTGAGTGGTGATAGGTTCCTGTGTTCACATCATGCACAAGATCTTAAATATGTGTGTACTTCATAGTTTTCTTTGATGCATGTGATAGGTTGAAAGCAAAACTCAATTATATTTTGTATGCGTGACTCATCATTAAGTATTCATGACAATATAGTTTAAAATGGTTTGGAAACAAAACTTTCCTCTCTTGCAGCCCCTTATCCACCTCGAAATATCACCGTTCGTATTGTAAACATGAACAAAAACAATTGGGAAGAACAGAGCGGCAGCTTTCCAGAGGAATCGTTCATGAGATCACAAGATCTAGTGGACAGAGACAAACTCTTCCATTTTACAGATGAAAGTCCTGAGATTCCCTCTGGCAACCTTTCTTCTGGCTGGCCTGATTTTAACAGCAGTGATGACGAAGCTACATCTCAGCCCAATTGGTGGGATAGTGCATCCTCCACTGTTGAAAGTGAAGATGAATTTGTTAGTGTACTTCCCATGGAATATGAAAATAGCAGTATTCTCAGCGAGGCAGACAAATTGGGCTCTTCCTCTTTCTTCCCCATGCAAATGATTCTGAGGTGGTTACCACCAAAACCACCTACAGCCTTTGATGGGTTCCACATCCACATAGAAAGAGAAGGTAAAGTAATAGGAAATTGCAAGAAATAAGAACTGGTCAAAGAAAAGGAATTTGAAAATTTTTAAATTTAAATTTAGAAGTAAGACTGCTGGAAGATAAAAATCTATACAAAAATGGTAAAGAGAGAAGAATTTAACTGCATATCCAATGTGAAAACAAAATGAAAACAAAATGAATAGGTTGGATAAGAAAACTTAGGTTGGGAAGGTTCAGTTGCAAGTACTTGCAACTGTGTTTTTCACTGTCCGTTTCTATTACCCCTGGCCACTGAGGATAACCTTCTATTTGCAGAAGATTTTGAATTGAAAGTCTAACCCTCACAAATTACAAAATATCCTGGAGAAATACTCTGTTTTCTGGTATACAAATTTTAGCAAGTATGCAGTAAAAGAATCTTTCTGACAAATGACACTTTCCTAAGAGATCAGACCTGTAAGCTATTCTTATGCCCAGAGGCAAGCTCCTCTGACATGGGTGCCACTCACATTTTCCCAGAGGAGCTGGTAATAACTCAGAAAATACATAGCAACTGGCATTTCTATGATAACTGCTATATCATATATTGAATTCACTTCTCTAACATCTGACAGTCATTCTTTACATTATGGTCCACTCATTTGTGAAGGCAGGGTGATGGCATTCTATAATTTTGGGTCATGAATTCTATCTGAATTGTTGATGGGTAGATTTTTATAGTTTTTGTTGTTGTTTTTAAAATAACATACTGCATTTTATACTTTCCAGTCTAGTGATTTGGGTGGCAAAGGTTGTTGAGTTGTCAACATTGAAGTCAAAATGACAGCTTTATTTTCAGGGTAGGGTATTAGGATCATGTCACCTCATACATGACATTTTGTGTGTCCCTATTTTATTTAATAGAATAAGATACAAAATCTGTGAATTCCTTTGTACTAGATGATAAAGCAATCGACCCTTCCCAAATACTATATAAAGTTGAAATCCTTTGTCATTTCCAGTTACTTTAGTGTCTTTCCCGGAATTGCTTGTCTTTAAAATAATTTCCATTAATCTTTTATTTTTCTGTTCCTCACTCTATTCTTTGTAAATAGGATCTTATAACTTAGAAAAATTTTTTAATGCCTAGTTGCATGCAGGTTTAGACATGCTTTCATCTGACTGCAGTGTGTTCTTTTGAAGACTATTGTAGTCACTGCCTGATGAGAGCAGCTTCAAATGAAGTAATAAGCAGCAGGGGATGGACTTGGAAGCCAAGTAAAAATCATTTTGACTTTTAAAAGTTCTGGAAGCAAATAGACGAAGGAAAAGTATTACAAGTCTCAGGAAAAAAGGATCTAGAATTATTTCTAACCAGCAACAATTCAATTCAAGGCTTTTCTGGATATTTAATGCTAGCTCAAAGAACTTATATTTGGTACTGGTTATTTTTTTATCCTTAAATTAAGATGTTCTTATTACTATTATTTTTTTTCTCCTAACATTTTACTTCTATTTTATGCATATAATTGTGTTGAGTAACAGTACAAATAGGCAGTAGATACCCATCCCTAGTTTAATTGATTTGGATACTATATTTTAGTTTGGTTATTTAAAGGGATCATTTAAAGGGATCATGAAAAACATTTTGAACCCTGTGTCATCTTTCTTTAGTAATACCTGTCATTTGGAGGTATAATTGAATTTGACCAAAGGATGGCAGTGGTACAATATATATATATTCACATATGTTCTGTTTTTTTATATATGATTTAGAAAATATTACTGAGCATCTGACAGTGGATGAAGAAACACATGAATTTGTTGCAGAACTGAAGGAACCTGGGAAATATAAGTTATCTGTGACAACCTTTAGTTCCTCAGGATCTTGTGAACCTCGTAAAAGTCAGTCAGCAAAATCACTCAGTTTTTATATCAGTAAGTACCAAAGAGGTTATTTGGCATCTCCACGGGAGGTGGAACAATGGAATCTGTAAGATTAATGGTACTCAGGAGTCAATTATTCATCAAACGTTAGAGATTCTGAGCCTCATCAAGGTCAAGAGAAGCCTGGATCCACAAGGTTTTGACAGCAGAGGAAATATATGTGCATTTGATAGTAGCAAACCTGCCCAGGGATTTAATTTGAGGATTTCTTTTATTGTGATAATTGAACAATTTTTAAACTGACTTTCCATACTAGCCACGACAGAGTCTCCAAGGACATGGGCACACACTTCGGGGAATATGACTTTTGTTTGAGTCTGCCATGAAAACTGATATTGTTGGACTTGTGAAAAGTCTCAGAGTATTGAGTTTGCAGAGCTGGAAAGGAGAGCAGAGATTCAAATGTACTGATATTATGATAATAAGGTCACAGTTAGCACAAGAAACAAAGCTAGAGCGTTCTGAAAGCCCCTTTGTCAAGTCTTCGGCTGATTTCTGCTAATTTCATCAGGGGTAAAAGCCGAGCAACAGCTAACCTGTGAAAGCGGAACAAATAGTGTGTGTCTGTGAGGTTGATAGCTAAACTGACAATGATCTATGCCAGTTTAAAGGCCAAAAATCAGTTACCTAGCTTTTAGGAGGCTAAATGTGTCTCTGATCAGCAGAAAGAAAAAGCAGATGGCAACAGCTAAAAATTGCTTTCCAAAAAAACTTGAGCACCATAGACTGTATCCCCTTCTGCAAGGGCAAAATATCACCTTTCATCAAATAGTCCTCAAAAAAGTTGATTGGGAGGAAGAAAAGGAAGGCAATGGGAACAGATTAGTCAACTTATTCCCTTAAAAATATTGAAAATGTCCCACATAACATTTTTACTTAAAAAGTCAAAAATGTCACCACAAGTCAAAGGCTGAAAAGATGCACGCTACAATGCAGGAAAGGTGTTTATATCTGCCTTGTCTACTTTCAATTGTGAGAGATCTTTGACATGACATCTCTTAACAAAGAACAATGTTTAATGTTCAGTTTTTACCCTGACACTAAAAAACATTTCATTAACCAAAAGGTCTCTTCCTCTGCCAGCAGAAATCAGGGCAAGTGTGGGCAACATCGTGAAACTCACTCAACTATATTGGCCACACTGGTTTTCCTCACCTCTGGCTTTCTACTCTGTGTCACAAAGCACACTACCAAATACTGAGTTTATTCGAGGGTGCTACCTTTTAGATGCACTTTCTTTGTGTCTGTCTTGCCTCTCATACCAAATTAGAAAATGCCAGGCTAGGGTTATGTTATATTATTTGTTTATTAATTCTGTTGTACTTTCAGCAAATAGTTATTGAGCCACTTTCATGATCAGGAACTCTGCTTTATTTTTAGAATTTCTAAATTGATTAGAGCTGTTGAGAATGTGTCAGAATTGCTCAAAAGTGAAATTATTTCAAAGAGAGGCATATTAATATTCATCTAGAGAAATGTAGGGCACTAGAAATTTTGTTTTTTTTCTCTGCCAAGAAAAGGGTGATATTTTTAGTGTTTAGGATATGCCATTCTGCAATGATATTCAGGTGTACTACTGTGGTTTAGAAAAAAGATAAAGATCCTATATTTAACTGGGTAAATTCCCACAACGTAGTGTCGTCACACACCAACAAATTATACTCTCAGTCGATTTTTCTGACCAAGCTTGTTCGGCCATTCAAGTGTTGAGCTATGGCATTAAGATTTATTATATTACATACACATGTTTATATTGGTGTATTCTGGTTTGTAATTGTGTAGTTTAAAGACTTTCACATTAGTCCCCCAGTAGCCTCAGGAAGAGTATATTTTTATTATCTCCATTTTTCAGGTAAACAGAATGGTCACAGAAAGCTTAGTGGCTTTCCCCAGTGTCAGAAGAAGGCTTGCAACCTAGGAACATTTGATAGTAAAGCCCATGTCTGCATAGCCTGCAATGACCGTTACTTCGGTTGATTATTAGACTGGTCCTATTAGACTGCTACCCCAAGAATCTTCATGACAATAGAGATCACTTTTCCTGATCTGTAACACACAGGACCCATTTCATCCCAATGATTGCCTGAGATGTCAGATGACAGATGAGACAGGAGGTCTGCTTACCAGTTCTGTGACAGTGAACAGGTCGTTCCTGTCTCTGGCTATAGGATAAATGAAGTTGCTTAGGCTTTTACGCCATTGGCCTCTGTGACTATCACCTGTGGCCTTGATCTTTCTAATGCTGAAGGCATGTGGGTGTGGGGCATGTGTGCCTGATGTGGACACCTGGAGCAAGGTGTGTGTACATGTGCAAGTGTGCACACCTGTGTCTAGGAGGGAGGGGATAAAGTGTCACCTTGAGAGAGGAAGATGATTAATAGTACTTACAGGTTTGTCATGAACATTAAAGGATTAAAGTGTGTAACTACACAAAAACTTAAAACACATCCTGTGACACATAGTGTTACAGGTATTATATCTCAAACATCATAAATTATCATTTTCTTAATTGTTGTAATGATTTCCATTGCCCCATTTACTATGAATCTGAACAGTACACATCACACACTAGGATTTCTTTTCCTCTCTTGGAGTCCAGCAGAGGAATACAGCTTTCTGTCAAGGAATTAAGAAATGCATCCTGAGCAAATAAAAGAAAGTTGCATGTTTGCATTTCAGCAGGGTATTTTTGTAGATAATAATCACCTTAACATTTCTTGAGTCCTCACTAGTGTCAGGCACTGTGCTAATAACTACTTTAAAACCTAAGAGAACAAAGCTAATGTGGGCTCTTGTATGGGGAATCTTGATAATGAGGAACCCACGGTGTTTCTCAAATTATCACCCGGGTCCTAGCCAGCTTCTAACATTGAACCAGCCTGTTGCCAGTTTCTTCTCTAATATACTCTCACCCTGTGTCTTTGATTTGAATGTTGCTAAATTTAAATATTTTTCATGTGATTGTAGTAAAGGCATATTGGCACCTGAAAGTAATTATTTCTAGAACCCAAAATTCCTAACAGCAAAGAAACTATACTCACTCGTGAGATGCCACACCCACTCCTTGTTAAAAGAGGCGAGTTCTCGCTGGTAAAAAAAAGTACCAGTATAATCTCAGGTGCACCTAGTTGAAGCAGAGTGTCTCTCCAAGTAGAGGGCAGGCAGCGGAAGCCTGCAGCTAAGCAGCTGATCGCGAGACGCCCATTCCTGTTGAATGTCTTTGTAAGGACAAAGGATTTTAAAACCTAGAATCTTTTATCTCAACCAGCTCAGCGTGAAACCTCCTTTGCATTCTGCTTTGAAATGTTCAGGTCCTTCGGGAGAGTGGATCGAAGAGCTGACTGAGAAGCCCCAGCATGTAAGCGTCCATGTCCTCAGCTCCACTACGGCCTTGATGTCCTGGACATCCTCCCAGGAGAACTACAATGGCACCATCGTTTCCGTGGTCTCACTCACCTGCCAGAAACAGAAGGAGAGCCAGAGGCTGGAGAAGCAGTACTGCACTCAGGTAAAGCAGAGGAAAGGCTGAGGGGCTTGCTCACCTCCCAGGCCTGTGCTCTGGATCCCTATCTCCAAAGTGGGGTTACCAGAGCCAGAAGAGGCGCCAGGAAATGCAGGCAGGGGCTGCTCAGCCAGTCACCTTCCATATCCTCCTTATATGGGCCAACTTTCTTTCACTTTCTTTCCTTATTCCAGAGAATTACTGAGCATCCATGTGGGCTGGGTCATAGCGAAGATGCTGGGGGTTCACATACTTTATATGTGCCCACTCTTGCTGAGCTTATAATCCAGTGAGAACTGTGATAAGTAAACATATAATTACTACAGCATTTCCTTTATCAAAATTAGGATAAAATAAGGCTCAAGCTAAAAGTAAAATGTCCCAGATGCCAGAGGCATTTCACAGAAAGGAGGAGCTGGGTGAGTAAGGATGGACTTGGGCAAGAGAACTTGGAAACCAGTCAGAAAAACTTCCCAGGGATGGAGACAACCAAGCAGAAGGTTTGGGGTGGGAGGTGAGAGATATTGATTTGTTTCCTTACTTTTTTCCCATTATTTTCATTGTTATTTTTGCCATAAAAATAATGCATGTTCATTGGGGAAAAAATAGCTAAAAAATTACAAGTTACATTAAGGAAAAAACTGCCCCCTTACTGATTATGGCAGAGGAGAGTGTTGAAGGATAATGGAGTTAGATGGGCACAAAGGAGCAAGTGTAGCTCTTTTGCTAATCGGTAGCTTTGGGAGTGGCCACCAGAACAAAAGGCCATGCCCTGTCATCGGAGGACCTTGCTCTCAGATGCCCTGAATACCCAGCAGGAAGCCTGGGGCCCAGTTCTATTTTCAAAAATTCTGTTTTTTTTTTTAATAAGATCAATTATTAGTGTCTTTATGATATTTCCTTCCATACAGGCAAAACAATTATCAGCTCCATGGAAATATAAAGCTTCCCAAAAGGTGTTTGTTGTGTGAAAGCTATTTGGGGTGTTTCTGTTCATCCTGCAAAAATTAGGCACTTGGGGGAATTAAAAAGGAGAAGTTTTCAATTTATAAGACCATGATTCTTGACTTCATCTTAAGAGCAATAGAAAACAGTGCAGAGATAAACCCTTACTTATAGCTGAGACCACCCCTTGACTTAAATTGAGTCAACATACTCAACCAATTAAACTGGTAATCACAGCTCTGTGGGAGCTTATTAGCTTCCTTCCCTGAGTATCCTAAACACAACTATCTCTACATTAGGAGAAAAGTGTATTTCCCTTAAGGAACACGACCCAGAACTTGACTGCTCCCAGGTATGTGTCTTCCTCGTGCCATCTAATGTGTAACTACATTTCTTTTGCATAGACATCAGGGGCTCAAGATATAGATTTTCTAAATTATAAATGAGCCAGAAAAGGCTGGTCTATGTGCGTTCTGACCATGTCTTTTTGAAATGCAAACATGAAACTGCTAAGTGTTACAGGTTGCAGGTGAGGAGGCTGTGTTTATAGTGGAGTGTGGGGACAGGATAAACCTTGCTAGGGTTTATCTCAAATTACTACAAGAATGCTTTGAGGATTATGCTACTGTTACATCATCATCCATTTTGCTACCACACAGACATGCACACGCACTTTCAGATGAAGAGACGTCCATTCAAGAAGTCTCAAACTTGTCACGTGGCTATTAAAGGAACCTGTAATGAACCTATTAAAGGAACCACAAAAATAACTTGGGTTATTTTTGAAAGCAATCTTGATCTAGAAAGGAAAAATATCTTTTTGTTATATATTTGGTGGTACTGTGATTATATTAAATAAAAATTCAAAATGGAGCTCAAAAATAAGTGATTCTTAAGGAAAACACAGATAGTCCTTGAATAACAGTGTTTCACTCAACATCCTTTCCTTACAACACGGAGAACAAAGCAATCTTGCCAGTGTTGAGCAAAAGGATGTTGTTAGAAGATCTGCTTTCACAAGAAGAAAAAAACAAAACTGCTTTTATTGTACCTTATTTTGCTTAAAATTGCAGTTTCCAAGAACAGATCCATGACTGAGCAATCAAGGTACTAGCAATTAATGTCTCACTATTTTATTGTTTCACTTACCCAATTTTGCCACCACTGCCGTATCATGTTAACCTCGATCAACCTGAGAGTTGGCAGTGCCCTCACACCTCCACTGAGGGAGGTTGCCCTCCTTATGAGTTCCAGTTGCCTGTACAAAATTCAAGAAAAAAAATGTAAACTTCGATTTCATGAAACTTGGAGTCTGGCCTTGCTATAGTGTAGGTACATAGTACCCACTAATTTCAATATTTCTTCATCATATGCATGTTCATGTCTGCTTGTTGTTTGTGTATGCGCTTATATACAGATATTGGTGGGAAAGGAAATTTTGTGGGATAGCCCTCCTAACAACCATTTTAGTGCTGTTCATTAAGAAATGTCTGTTGAATATAAAGTCACTGCTCAGTGTTACATAAATGATAGTCGCTTCTCAAAGTAAATGTGCTTTTGGCAGTTTCTCCATAAACTCATACACAACCATCAATTTTAGAATTAAGAAACATCGTGTGTGTGTTTGTTTATTAGATCTGCATAAGTCCATAAAGTGCTTTGTGGCAATTTACAGAAATGTTTAATAATTAAATGATAAAATCAGGAGGAAGGAGCAATCAATCTATTAGCTTTACAAATTAGGAATGGTCGAACTGAGAGGTCAGATATTTAAAGGAACATCCCAGAGACACATAGCTGATTAGCATCAGCCTGAGTCCTGGACTCAAAGTTGCTGACTGCCAAGCCAGTGTGGTTTGTGTTGGATTGTGTATGCTATCCAAGGGGAGATTGTAACTAGAGCCACTGACTCCAGAATCAAACAGACTTGAGTTTCAGACCCAAAATTTTTACAGGTACCAGTTATGAGTCCCTGGGCAACTTTCTTCATGTGGTAGGTGTTGGTATCTTAATCTGTAAAATATATATATATATATATATATATATATATATATATATATCCGAAGTCATAGGGTTAAATGCAAAAGGACTTGATGTGTAATACATTAGAGCATAAGAAATCATTAGATTTTGGTATTGTGCAAACTTACATAGATGTTTTTTAATCAATAGACAAAGAGAGGTTCTAAGGTGTTCTGTGGAGAACCTGAGTGACTGGAATAAATGTATAAAAAAGAGCCAATGGAAGAGGGTTACATGAAGTAGAAAAAAATCCATTCCAGACTCAAATGAGCCCTCTCCATCTCATTCAAGCCTGTTACTCAGCCATTTTACATCTCTTATTGTCTATTTTTTTTTAAAGATTTATTTATACGAGCACTGGGTACAGTCAGAAGCGCAGGAGGGTGAGAGAATTCACCAGAGCCAGAGCGGGGAACAGAATAGGCAGCCCGATGAAACACACTGCTGAGGGGAGCAGCGGGCTCGGCAGGAGAGTTCTGTCGCACCATGTGGGACCCTCGCTGGCATCCGGGGATGGAGCCGGAGCTGCAGAGGCTACAGGCAGCCTTGCAGCCCAGTGCTCAACCCGCTGCGCCACCGCCACCGGGGAGGCCCCATTTTACATCTTTTATTGTCTTGAGTAACTTTTTTCCTCCCAGTTATTTAGCTGAATAGGGAAAGGACTCATGCTTAGCTGGAGACACTGGGTTGACTGAATTCTCTGGAATGGAAACAAAAGCCAATCAGGAATGGGAGAGAGGAAATACTTTAATGCAAAGAAGGCATGAAAATTGGTTGAAAGGTATGGGGTGATACTCCAGAGAATAAAATGGAAATTATTTAGTAAGTAGAATGCAGATACACATCCATCCCTTCCTGCTCCAACTCACCTCCAAGAAGGTCTAGAATAAATTAAAAGGCATGGCAGCATAGACATGTAGCTATAGGTTCCTGGGTCACCAAACAGTGAAAAATTGGTGGGAAAATTGGTATTTATGATTTGTTACCAAGATAAATCATTTGCAATACCATTAGCCTCATTTTTTAGTAGTCATATATAAACATAGTTACTTATTTTTAGAAAGTATAATTTCGTTAAGATGAATTTATTATGATGGCATATTTAAGTGGATATGATTTCAAGTAATCATTTGAAAAATCAGAATCAACTACTGCTTAAAATACTGTCTAACCAAAGAAAGTTCAGCATCCTAAAGCAATCTATGTTCTTTATGTGCTGTGTTAAATATCCTAAATGAATGATTAATCAACCCACTCAGCATTTACAGGTATGGCAGTTCAGTAGTGTTTAAAGGAAATGTTTGGAGCAGTATTGATATTATAACCCCTCTATGGGCCAATAGATACATAACTAGAAAGACGTATGGATAAATGGATGGATGGATGGTTGGATAGTCAAGAAGTCTGAAAGATTGCCTACCAAATGTTAGCAAGGACGGGAGGAGGACATAAAAGCTTCCAGATTATTTCATTTGCTCTTCCACTGTGTATTTTTCATAATGAGCATGTATGGGTTTTATCACTTGAAAAGATATTTTAAACAAAGCAAGGAGTGCTGCTTAGTTGTTCCTTACACATTTTGTTTTTTCCCATAGTGTATATCTTCTCATGTTCTCTTAGAGAAGAATATTTAGATGACTAACTTTGTGTAAATGACTTCCAGCAAATTTAAAATTCTGAAGCATGTGCAAGAAACTCTGACATGAGTGTAAACAGGAAAGGAAGGTGGCAAATACTAACATGCTAATTCACCTTAATCTTACTTTGGCCCAGTTACTGGGGAACCAAGTATTTGTTTATTGCTCCCCTTACTTAAATGTAGAGCAAGTTGTACTAATTCAACATAAATGATTTTACTGTTTAAAATTTTACTGTTTTTCCAGTATTAGAAAAGTTTAAAATTCATTTACCATCAGTGTTATAACCACAATGAGACTTTTAAAGAAATCCCCTTATAGCTTAGGTGAGCTATCAACAATATTTTCTATTGATTCATGCTCTTACCTGTATCAGTTGTACAATTCTTTTGTGCCCTGGGAGGCAAAAAGTTGGTAAGAGTAATAAGTTAGTTTTATTGAAACTTTTGACTTAAACCTCCTCACAATTCTATGTGATATATAATTGTCTATAGTATTGTCTGTAGTTTATTGATGTGGAAGTCAAGGTTTAAGCATTACAAATAAATTCCCATGCTTATAATGGGAATTTGATCCCAGGCAGTCTGAATAGCAAATTCGTGTTCTTTCGACAAAGACTGAAATGCTGGAGGTGCTGACGGTCAAAGCAGCACATGTCTTAACCTGTTACTTGAATCATCACTCCTTGTGCATGCCAACACTCAACTTGGATATTGAAAATTCATCTGCTCTCGCTATTTTTCTCTATGAGACTTGTTACATAACCAAGAGTTTTCAAAATGAGTAAAGGACAGCTTGTCTAAATGAGAAATGTTCTCTACAGTGTTATTTTATGAAGTCACGATGCCTTGCAGAGCACTTAACACTGTATCTCAGGGCTTAGCACCATAACTTGTTCATAGCATGGATTAGAGGTCACGATGCTGACTCTAGATATGTGACCTTCGCCACTCTCTGTCTTTACTCTCTTCATTTATTAAATGAGAGATTTAGACTAGATAATCTCTGAGGTTATTTCCATCTCTATAATTAGATATTACATGCTTCTAAGTGAGGAGAGAGTAAAGTCATTTCTGCAGTGCTCTCTGTATGGAATCAGCTGACACTACAATTTAGGATGTCAGGCTATCCTTATGGTATTGCTGATTTGATTATGGTTAGAGGCTGTTGTGTCTCTTGTGTACATGGTTACAATTGACATTGATTGGTATAAAAGCCGTTCATGGAGCTTATTAAATCCAGCCGTAGAATTGGAATGTTCCTCTGAACATTTAGTGTCCATATAAACTATAAATTATCCTTATTTTGAAATCTAACCTTCTCCAGCATGAGTAAAGACCTCAGATTTCAAAGGTATCTGTGGTTCCACAAAGAGTCCCTGAATATGCTTTCAGCCTCTCTGTCACCTTCTAAAAGCCCTGCTCTAAATATATCTTACTTGGTTTTTGGTTTAAAGGTGAACTCAAGCAAGTCTATTATTGAAAATCTGGTACCTGGGGCCCAGTACCAGGTTGTGATGTACCTAAGAAAAGGACCTTTGATTGGACCACCTTCAGATCCTGTGACATTTGCTATTGGTAAGTTTCCAACACAAGAGTAATAACTCTTAAATACAACAGTCATTAATATTGTATTAATACAGTATTAACATTAATAACAGTATTTTGGGCCTCCCCTGGTGGCGCAGCGGTTGAGCGCTGGGCTGCAAAGCTGCCCGCAGCCTCTGCAGCGCTGGTTTGATCCCCGGCCACAGGCGAGGGTCCCACATGGCGTGACAAACCTCTGCTGTCTCTCCCGCTGCTCCCCTCAGCAGTGTATTTTGTTGGTCTGCCTGTTCTGTTCCCCACTCTGGCTCTGGTGAATTCTCTCACCCTCCCGCACTTCTGACTGTACCCAGTGCTTATATAAATAAATAAATAAATCTTTTTTAAAAAAAACCAAAACAGTATTTTATCAGTGAGCTGTTAGGAGGGGTTCAAGGTCAAGTCATTATCATTATAAGTGGGGGACCCATACTTATCCAATATTTTACCTTTAGAGTAATAAATGACTATAACTGTACAACTGGAGTACATCCTAAGCATTTCTTACTCAGGATGAAGAAGAAACAAATAGGCGAACATGTTTCATTTTCAATAATAGTGCCAGAGGGGTAAGACCTTTGTTGTTAGTAGAAATTTTAAGCCATTGCTAAGATACTAAACATTCCTTCTGGCTCTTTTTTTTTTTTTTTCCCACCCCCTCCCTTTCTTCTTAGTTCCAACTGGAATAAAGGATTTAATGCTCTACCCCTTGGGCCCTACAGCAGTGGTTTTGAGCTGGACCAGACCTTACTTAGGAGTGTTCAGAAAATATGTGGTTGAAATGTTTTATTTCAACCCTACCACCATGGCGTCAGAGTGGACAACCTACTACGAAATTGCTGCGACGGTTTCCTTAACAGCCTCAGTGGTAAGTGTCTTAATCAGCTCTTAGAGCCTCAAACTCTCCTGTAGAAACATGTGACTTTTTATACCCAACGTGTCAGAAAGTGAGCCATAGATGAGGTTTTTTCATAAATATGTACAGGCAGCTTCCTACTTTCAAGGTTTTTTTTTTTTTTTTTTTTTTTTAGTTTTTGCTTTTAAGGTGGTGGTTGTTTTCAAGGAGGAAGAGAAAAATAATTGTGTGAAACTAGCTTTTACCCCTAATTGAGCTGATTTGTTAATCCACAGTTTTAGTAGCGCTGTCAAGGGTTGATTACCTCTGTCTGCCCTGAGGGGGAAAGCAGAGGACAGAGCCTTCAGTAGTTCCATGCTTTGTTGCCACTGCTTAATTCTAATGACAGCAGTTCTTGACATCTGCAGATCAGTTAAATAACCCTAATGAAAAGTCAACAAAAGATACTTTTCAGGAGAGCAGATAAACCTTGTTCTTTCTAACCGTGGAGTCATTTTTAAAGTGCAACTTAGGGCCTCCCCTGGTGGCGCAGGTGGTTGAAAACAGCGCTGTGAATCTGTCCACAGCCTCTGCAGCACAGGTTTGATCCCGGCCGGCTGGCAAGGGTCCCACATGGCATGGAAGACCTCTCCTGTTTCGTCCGCTGCTCCCTTCAGCAGTGTATTTCGTCAGTCTGCCTGTTCTGTTCCCTGCTCTGTCTCTGGTGAATCCTCTCACCCTCCCGCGAATCTGGCCTGTACCTCAGCTCTTGTGTAAATAAATAAATAAATAAATAAATATCTTAAAAAAAAAAAAAGAGTAAAGTGCAACTTAGTACACTTAGCACTGGTAGTCACCCTCTTCCCAGGGAATCAACCTGTTAGTGTAACCCACCAGACACATGCTTGTGGACCAACTTGGGAGAAATGGGGGGGGGTGTCCCTGTAGCACTGTTTCACTTGTGCAAATAGCAGGAAACAGCAAAAGGAAGCCAATATCAGATGTATTTGAGTCTCTACCATCAAGTCACTTTTCAAAGGTGTATTTTCATTTATCATTTGATTTATAGCACACTGCATTCCTCAAAGAATTTTTTGATTGAAAATTTGGGAAATACAAACTGGAATATAAAGAAAGGAATATAAAATTTTTTGATCATGACCAAATAGGAGTAGCTCTTTTTATAATATGATCCCTTTACCTCACCTTAGCCTTTTGTCTTCTTGCCTTTTATAGAGAATTGCTAATCTGTTGCCTGCCTGGTACTACAACTTTCGCGTTACCATGGTGACCTGGGGAGACCCAGAATTGAGCTGCTGTGACAGTTCCACCATCAGCTTCATAACAGGTGAGTGACATGTGTGGGGGAAGTGGTTCCGTGAGCAGAGAGCACTATTTTGAGGAAGTTCTGGAGGGACCCATCTCCAAAAAGGGCTAGTCATTCACCTGTCACCGAGCATCAGTTTCAAGGAAGATAAAATGCATGATTCTGAAAATTCATTACTTTTTGAGAGGATGATCTTTTAAAATTAAAATATTTTAATTCTGAGTTGCTGGCCTTGATCTATGCATGACTGATTTGGAATGGATTTGAATGGAGATGTGGCAGGTAGAGGCCTGAACTGTACATGACACTCAACTGATTTTGGCCATGAGTTGATGACATTTTCTAGAGTGTCTCCATTTCCCTGTTAAGTAAACCATTCTTAAAGTCACAGGCTGAATCCAGTATGGTTCACTGCAGACATTAAAGTGGACTTTGGTTATATTCAACCAAAATGAAAATGCATATACTGTGCTAAAATGAAAAATGATGTAAGAATTATATAAAATATTTTATATATATATATATATGAAATCCCAAAAGGGGAAAAAAAAAAGTGGACTTTGGATACAGGCAGACCTGGGTTTGAATCATGGGCCTTGGCACATGTGACCTTGAGCAAGTGAACTTTTCTAAACCTCAATTTTTTCATGTGTAACATGGTTTACTGCTCAATTAAATAAGCTACTTAGCAAAATAAATGGCACAAAGTTTAGTTAAAATACTGGGTAATGTTAGCTCCTCAGTCTGGCATTATGTTCTTCCTCATCAGAAGGTAGAGATAGCGAAGGCGATCAGAGGTAGCAATGAAAAGGGGAAATCCAGCCTTGTTGTTAGAAATAAGATATTTCAAGAATTTTTGTTTGGACTACAACACTGTATACTGAGAATTATACTGAGAAAAGAAAAGAACAAAATAGTTTTTAAGGATTTATTTATATATTTATACAAGAACTGGGGTGCAGGCCAGATGTGAGGGATGGTGAGAGGATTCACCAGAGACAAAGCGGGGAACAGAACAGGCAGACCGACAAAATACACTGCTGAGGGGAGCAACTGGCAGGACAGGAGAGGTCTGCCACGCCGTGTGGGACCCTCGCTAGCTGGCCGGGATCAAACAGGCGCTGCAGAGGCTGTGGACAGCTTCACAGTGCTGTGCTCAAAAGTCTGTGACACCAGGGGAGGCCCCCAACCCAAAATAGTTTTTTTTTAAAGATTTCTTTATTTATTTATACAAGCACAGGGTACAGTCAGAAGTGCGGGAGAGTGAGAGGATTCACCAGAGCAGGGAACAGAACAGGCAGACTGACAAAGTACACTGCTGAGGGGAGCAGCGGGCGGCAGGAGAGGTATGTCACACCATGTGGGACCCTCTCCGGCGGCAGGGGATTGAACCAGTGCTACAGAGGCTGTGGGCATCTTTGCAGCCCAGCACTCAACCACGGCGCCCCCAGGGAAGGCCCCAAAATAGTTTTTAGATGAAGAACAACGTGGGCAAAATATTTTCCTGACTGGACTTCTAGATTTACTCTGTTGAAATCAATTAAAAAAATATGGAACGAAATGAACCAGAGGTGATAAAATCTTACACAATCTACTTACATAGTTCATCACTTGTTATTTACTTGCTAATGTCCAGAACTCCCTTTGTTCCAGATGTTGTTAATAATCTGAGAAGAGAAAAGTGAAAGAAAACCCCAAAAGGAGAAAATAGCAATAACTTAACATGTGCTATATTAGGCCTTTGACTGTTTTCGTTATTGCATACTTTATAATGAAACTTCACTATTACAGAAATTCATGAAATTTAACTTACCGAGATTAAGGATAGTCTTTCCTTCTCAGATACAACAGCTGTTTGGGAAAACCCAGCCTTTTGCATCTTCACCCTGATTGAGCAGTCCTGGGTCTGCTCATTTCTAGCTGTAGAACTTGGAGCAGAATCCCTCAGTAAACCTGGACTTCTGTGTCCTCATGCGTACCACTCTTCAAAATACTGCCTAACATCTGGCTGAAGAGCAAATCTCGGGTGTTACAATTCATGTAGTTAGGCCTAAACCTCACCCTCACAGAGCCTCAGTGGGGCTCAGAAGGACTGCAACACCAAATAGAAATAGGGTCTAAACCCCATTCCAGTGGTTTAGGTTTGCTTTTCAAAGCTGGGAGCTCACTGGGGTTGATGAAGATGGTGATGTAACTGGGTGATGTAACTGCTTAGGGAGACATAACAAATCTGTATACACAGATGATTCTAATAAGTGAGCTGCTCACCTGGGGGAGCTGTGTGTTGTCAGCAGCAGATTGGGCTTTGGGCATTTCTTATCTTTTGCTGGGATAGACTAGTAAGTCATGCGGACACTGCCGTATTGACACAAATGATCTCCTCACATCTATAAATGGGCATAATAGTACCTCACAGGATAGTGTGAGAATTAAATGACATAATGCAAGTCACTGTTAAAATATATATGCTAGCTGACTCTTATTTCTATACTTATTTTCAGCACTAGTTGAAATTTTGGATCTTTTTTTTTTTTTTTTGCCAGTGTTATTTTAAAGCAAATAAGAATCTCATGCTTTGCTTCCCTGTGATTTCAGTTGTCACCCAAATTGCCAAAATATTTGAATAAGGTGTGATTTATTAGAATCTTTTTTTGCAAGTGAAGTTCATGGTAATTATGCTAGCATACCAAATAATGTTTAGAAAACAAATAGTGACATCTTGTGGCCTTTGAGCAATATGCTTGATTTTAAATCAACATCAACAGCCATAGTGTATAAAAATCTGAACACCGGGCCTCCCCGGTGGCGCAGCGGTTGAGCGCTGGGTTGCGAAGCTGCGCGCGGCCTCTGCGGCGCCGGTTCGATCCCCGGCTGCTCCCCGGCCACCGGAGGAGGGTCCCACATGGCGCGCAGACCTCTCCTGCCGCCCGCTGCTCCCCTCAGCAGTGTACTTCGGTCCTTCTGCCTGCTCTGCTCCCCGCTCTGGCTCTGGTGAATTCTCTCGCCCTCCCGCGCTTCTGACTGTACCCAGTGCATGTATAAACAAACAAAACAAACAAAGAAACCAGCAAACAAATAAATAAAGCATGCCTCTATAAAAAAAAAAAAAAAAAAAAAAAAAAAAAAAAATCTGAACACCTCGTACCGGTGAGGGGGGAGATACATACTTCTGGGTTTGCAATTTTACATGTGTTTCTTGTCCTCACTAGAATTAGAACATGAAAAAATACCCTTTGAAGAAATACCCATGTAGATGCTTGTGTATATTGAAGTGCATAGAAATATGTTAAGAGGCTATAAAGAAACCAGCATTATCCTTTATTAGGATATTATAAAATATGATGTGGGTTCATATTACTTGCTAGACACATTACTGATATTCCAATATTTTATTAAACATAGAAATACTGCTCTTATTTCACATGAAGCAATGTTTTTATTGTCTGTTATAAATATCATCAGTGAATAATTGCTTTTGTTCTGAATGTTTGTTATGAAAATGAGTAGAATTTTATTTTTTTTTTAAATATTTATTTATATAAGAACCAAGGTACAGGCAAGATGTGTGGGAGGGTAAGAGGATTCACCAGAGACAGAGTGCGGAACAGAACAGGCAGACTAACTGAAATACACTGCTGAGGGGAGCGGGAGGCGAGACAGGAGAGGTCTGCCGCACCATGTGGGTTGCTCCACGGCCAGCGGGGATCGAACCAGCACTGCAGAGGCTGCAGATAGCTTCATAACGCTATGCTCAACTGCCTGCACCACCAGGGAGGCCCAAAATGAGTAGCATTTTGAAGAAAATAATTCTTCATGAGTTGTAGATGTACTCTTCCAAATGTTTTACTTGGCTTTTTGCTGTACCTTGAAATGGAACTCATGCCTGTCTTCAAACCAATACGCACATGTGATTTAAATACAACAGTCTTTGCTTTGAAAATCTTCAGAATTATCAGCTACTTAATTAAAATGTGCTTTCAGGGGATACATATTATAAAACTTAGGATGAACTCTCCTCCCCACTGTTTGCTTCTTACTTCGCCTGCCCTTGTAGCCTTAATTCAGCAATCACATTTCTAGGGTTCCTTTTGTTTTGTATGACTTTACATTATTGAAATCAGCCAGAATTTCTTTCTCCTTCTCCCTTATTTTGCTTAGCATAATCCCCTCCAGTTCCATCCATATTGTTGCAAATGGCAAGATTTCATTTTTTATATATAGCTGAGTAGTATTCCATTGTGTATACATACCACAGTTTCTTTATCTGCTCAGCTGCCATTTGGACCCTTAGGTTGTTTCCACAATTTGGCTGTTGTAAGTAGTGCTACACTCAACATTGGAGTGCATATACCCGTTCCATTTAGAGTTGTTGTATCCTTCCACTCGACTTAGATACCTAGGAGTGGAATTGCTGGATCATATGGTAGATCTATTTTTAATATTTTGAGGCACTTCCATACTGTTTTCCACAGAGGCTGGACCAGTCTACATTCTCAGCAAAGTACAAGGTTCCTTTCTCTCCACATCTTCACCTACCCTTGTTTCAGGTCTGTTTGATGTGGGCCATTTTCACAGGTGTGAGGTAGCATCTCACTGTGGTTTTGATTTGCACTTCCCTGAGAAGTGACAATGAATATTTTCTCATGTGGCCACTGGCCATCTGTATATCTTTGGAGAAGTGGCTATCATTTTTTGATTGGGTTGTTTTGTCCAATTGTATCAAGTTCTTGATCTTGAGTATTAGCCCCTTGTCACATGTATGATATGTAAATATTTTTTTCCCACTCTGCAGGGTGTATTTTCATTTTAATGATACTTTCTTTTACTCTACAGAAGCTTTGTAGCTTGATGTAGATACATTTGCTTACTTCATTTGTGTTTCTTTTGCCCTGTTGTGTCCCCAGTGGAGTGTTTACCTATGTTTTCTTTGGTATATTTTATGGCTTCATGTTTTCCATCCAAAACTTAGTACAGTTTGAGTCAATTTTCGTATATGGTGTGAGAGAGTGGTCTGCTTTCATTCTTTCACATACATGTTCAGTTTTCCCAAACTTGTTGAAGAGACTTTTCTTTCTCCATAGTATGCTCTTAGCTCCTTTGTCATAAATCAACTATCCATTTAAGTCTGAGTTTTTTTCTGGTAAACGCCTACCTTCTAAAAGCACTGGGCTATATACCATCAGTGATACTGCCTTGTTACTTTACGAAGTAATGGTTATTTTTCCCTTTACTTGTTCATTCAGTTATCCTTTACGCCATAAATACCTTCACTGCAACATATTATAAAAAGATTTACAGAACCCAAAGTTTACAATACTGCTTGAAAAATGTCATCAATGCCTAATAAAATTAATATATTGATGTGTATTGATTGACAAGTATACCCAGGCCAGAACATTTTTGGGAACCTGATAAATGTAACACTGTATAAGAGACCTTGATAATTGTCAGGTTTAGGTGGTCTGCCTGTCTTGTCTCTTAGCTGTACAACACGAGGTCCCATGAATCAACGCCCCCCCCAGCCCCAGTATTACCAACTTTGAGCACATTACTGAGAATATTGGAGTTCCCAGGACCATCATATGGCGTGCCTTTTCATTCTCTAAATTAGCTCTACATGGTATTACATGCTCAGTGGATAAGCACGTTCAGAATTATTAGTCTGTTAAACTAATGTGTACCTCTTTCCTTCCTATAGCCCCAGTTGCTCCAGAAATCACTTCTGTGGAGTATTTCAACAGCCTGTTATATATCAGTTGGACCTACGGGGATGACACCACTGACCTCTCCCATTCTAGAATGTTGCACTGGATGGTTGTTGCTGAAGGAAAGCAGAAAATTAAAAAGAGTGTATGTTTTCTTGAATCCTAATATTATGCAATTGCCCATTAGTTTGCATGAACTATCGAAAATTATTAAGCAAACACTGAAACATTAAACAAATATTAGTATTGTTTTAGGCTTGAAGAATAGAGAGTGAACAAAAATTAAATTCTTCCTTTCATAAGGCTTACCTTTTAATCTTTAATAGTTGCAACTATTGATTTGTAGTTAAGGCTATGAGTTGACCTGTTTTTCAGGATGCCAAACAATTTCAAGAAAACTATAGGTAATATATATAGGTATATTCTCTATCTATCCCCAACATCTACATATTTGGGTACATTGGAAATATGATTTCTTTTGTCCTGGTTTATTAACCTTTTTACCATTATATCAGTTATGACCCTTAGGTCCTAATTAAACTAGTATAATAAAACTAAACTAGTATAATTAAACTAGTATAATAAAAATATAAACAAAAAAGATATCACCTCAAGGAAAATCAAAGCACATCTCCTCACACTAGCCCAGGACTTACAGGCCATCTCTTCTGTCAGGGACCATCCATGGGTCCAGGCTCTCTCTGTCTTATTGCTCCATCTATAACTATGCTAGTCTTTATCTGCACAGCTGAACCATCATCATCATCACAGCTGTGTTCCAGGAAGTGACGAAGAGGGAACATGCAAGCCCACCACTTACAGGGTGTGACTTCCACTTATAACCCATTAGTCATAATCATCACATGGTCAACTCTAGCTAGAGGGTGACTGGGAAATAGTCTTTCATTAAAAAGCCAGGTGTCTACAGACATGACTGGGTTTCTTCTGCTCTTCTAAATAGAGCTGAGCAGTGATCATATCAGTAGTTACCCAATGGCTGCCTTTTCTAAAATTTGTTGTGAATATGAAGAAAAATAACACGATCAGGGAATTAATTGCAATTTTTTCTAATGTGGACTGTGTATGTTGAGGATTACCTTGCACTTGCCTCAGTTGCAGAATTTATATCATTTTCAGAGGAATAACACATTCATAAGGTGCAGTCCAGTCTGGAGTGCAGCACAGAACTGAGAGCAGTGTCTGCTATAGTCCTCCAGTTACCTGGGTGGCATTCTAGTTCAAGGTATCAGAAACTTGAACTCTCAATTTAATAATCTTGCAGGTAACACGCAATGTCATGACTGCAATTCTCAGCCTGCCTCCCGGAGATATCTACAACCTCTCAGTAACTGCTTGCACTGAGAGAGGAAGCAATACTTCCACGCTCCAGCTGGTCAAGCTAGGTAAGACTAGGGTGGGGGTATGTGTGGGCAGGCAGTCATGTTGGAGACAGAATGCTTGCATCTCTTGGTTTAGTGTGGCCTTCTTGAATCAAAGAAACAACAGAGAAATGCTTACTCTCTTTTATATGCCAAAATGCACATTTTTATATTTCTTATAAGACATTTTATACTATCAGAAGAGTGTGTCATCCGGATATAAGTTTCTGTGAGTGAAATGTTCACTGCTGGGAATGCCCACCATTCACAGAAGGTTAGAGGAACCAAGAGGACTTAGGATTTTAGCAGTCAAAGGACCTTCGAGTTTATGTAGTGCCATATTTTTTACTCTATTAGGTATCATTCCCTTTCTATGTAAATGCTATGCAATGCCATCTTTAATACTTACATTGAAATTCATAGATGAAATGGTCCACATACTAATTTTTAAGTTGACATGTCCTCATTCTAATATAAAATCAAGATAACACAAAATTTTACACAATACTATGATTCTCTATATGTTCAGATATTGCTGTTCTAAAAGTCGTAATGAAATTACCTGGTGCTTACACATAATTAAAATACTAAGGTTAAATTTACAAGAAGGATCAGTAGTTCCTCTATGCAAATCATGTAAAAATAAGCAAAGAAATGAACAAATTCTATTGATTAATAATAGCTAGCAAGCATTGATATAAGCCGAACCTAGAATAAAATATAGGATGATAGTATTGGTACTAAGAGACCAGATGTATTTTCATATGATGAGAGAAAGAAGAAAATAACCTTAATTAAAGGTTACATGCAAGAAAAAAAATGTGGATAAAGAAAATACAATATTCTTGAAAAAGAGCTACAATGTACCGTGTAATGTAAAGTAAGTCTTTGTTGTGAAATACAACTAGAAAGTTACACTGTGTAAAACAAAACGCATTTTCTCCATTGACCAATTACCATATGTTGAGGTATACATTTAGTTTCTGGTACTTAAAGTGTCAGTCTCCTATCAGGTAGCCTAGTAAAGAAGTTGTGTGATCGTCTTGGGAGAAGTGTCGGCAAGAGTTCCATCCCGAAAATAAATGCTCTTCAACACACGAATGTCACAGCAAAGAGCTTATCTTTATATTTTGAAAGAAGTGTATAATATGGCGGTAAAAAATACCACCCAAATATGTAATGCATTACTGTTGAGATGTCTGCTAATTTATCCTCTGAGTCTATTCATAAGAGTTACAGATGACCACTTATTACATGTGTTCACATGTGCAACTGTAAGTACAGGATGATTCAGCTTAAATATCCTAGAAAGCATGGTTAACAGTGCCGTATTTTTAAAAAGACTTAGAATTCAAAATAAGCAAGTCACACTCATTCCTTAATTTACCCAATAGTTGCATTTCTCTAAATTTTGGTACATAGGCACTGAGTTATTATTGTATTTCATGTGTGCCATATCAAAACTAAAATCTTGCACCAAAACCCCTCAAAATTAAATTAACTGGAAATTCACGATGTATCAGAATTTTTTAGTATTTTTCAGTATTTTTAAACAGCATCAGTATTTTTAAACAGCATCAGCATTTTTAAGTAGCATCTTAATTTCAGTATTTTCAGTATTTTTAAATAGCATCTTAATTTCATCTAAGTATACTTGTTGACAACTCTCTTCTAAATTATCTTAATTTCTTGGAAGAAAATTCCAGTATTATTATAGGATAAAATAGTTACATTTCTATTTGTAGTGAATTTAGTCTGGTGTAACATTAGAAAGTTATGTGGGATGTAGCACATAGGGCAATTTTTCTGATTGGCTCTTTCTAGATCATTGCAGCATATCTAGCATTTCTGCTCCTTGCCTACATGAGTCCAGTTACCAGCCTCCCTTGTCACTGATTACTAAAAACAGTGCTGCAAGTTTCTGAGCGCCCTCAAGGGGGCGGTACTGCTATTGTTGAGAACCACAAGTAGAGTTTAATTTTTCACTCACTGTAGGTAATCTGCAGTTACTCCCTAATTACTCCATTATCTTGGATCTTGTCCTCTGTGAATATAAACATCAGTCCAAAATTTGTTTCCAAGTAATTAAAATTACCCATATTCCTATGCCTTCATTATTACAGTTAGGGTTAATTGTTCACGTCCTAGCTGCATTCTCCAACTCACTAGGTTTATGTGTCTCTTAAAGTGTAGACTCAGAAGTGGTCTCACCTATAGCATTCAGTGGGCCTATTCTGTGCCTCATTGTCATTTTTATGGGACACTGTGGATGTGTGATCAGGAGTTTGGGTCATGAACTGGTACAGTTATACCTACACAAACCTGTGGTCATTTCCAAATTTATCATGAGATTGTGAACCCCTGTATCTTTTGCTTGATAAACAGGACTACTTAAACCACTTTAGAAACTTCCTGTAAACTTTTCAGGAGGAGAAGAAGACAAGTTTCCATAGAAATGATCTCTGGTGAATTATAATTCTTAAAAGTCAATAGTTTTCCTTGTTGGTTTCTTAATATCAGGTGGAATAATGCCTTTATGCTATTTATCTCTGAAAATAGAATTTGAAGCAGAATATTAAACCTAGGATCTAAATTGATTGGGGTAACACTCAGTAAGCTAATTGGCCTAACATACCCAGTTAGTTGGGCTAACCTCCAACTAGTTAGGTTAGCTCCCAATTAGTTAGTTGGACTAACCCCCTAGGTAGTTGGGCTAAACCCCCAGTTCAATTTCTCTGTGACAGAGGCCTCTTTAGAGTGGCTCCATTTGCCGTCATGAAAGGCAGGATTTCTATCTATGGAAAGAAACCAGACTACTGATGAATTCAGCTTAAATTAATTCAAGATGGCGAGTGCAAGGGTAGAGAGCCCTCCAAACACTTCCCAAGAATTTCAACTATTACATTATCAGTGAACATCCTTGGAAGACATGTACCACCAGTGGTGCTGTTTGCAGGGCATTGAGCCAGTCTTCCCCTTATGAATTTTAGGTTGCCAGCATTTTCATGGCACTGTGGTGGTATGTGGTGACAGCTCTCCTTGGCAGTCAGTATAAATGCCTATCAAATCTGCCCTAAAACTTGTCATCTTTGGTCCGTATGTGACTGTGTCTTCAACCAGCAGCCAGTTCTATCTTCTGGTCAGGATGGAACTATCTAGAACTCTGGGTCAGCTTTAGGGGCATTTGATAAGTCTTCATTGTAGAATCAGATTTCCAGCCTGAAAAAAAATGAAACAGGAACAAGACATGTTGGACACTAAATAGCTCCACAGTAATGTAATACCCATTCATTCATGTAATGGATAAATGAATTATTTTTTATACTGAGAACCTTTTAAGGTCTTCTCAGATGCCAAACTAGTTGCAGTCATGAGCCCTCATTTTCTGTTCACATCGAGCCTGTGAGCTAGTGAGGGAAGAGGTGGTAAGGACTTTCAGAACATTGAAATAAGGTGTCGTGGTGCAGCATGATTATGCAGTAATTGTTTTCTCTGAGGAAATGGTCAAGACTGAGATTTGAAAGGATCAGCCTTGTAAAAGTTGGGAGAGAGCTTGCTTGGGCAGAGTGAAGAGGCAGAGGCCACATTATATAGGATTCATTGGGCATGGAGTTGAGATTTTTATTTTGAGTGCAATGAGATACCATTTAGAGAATTTTAAATAATATGACATTTAAAATAATCCCTTTGGCTGCTCAAGGGAGAAAGACTTGTTCATCAAAATTAAGGTAGAGAGACCATTAGAGGATCATTAATCTTAGTTTTTGAAATAACATTCTAATTCACATAAGTGCCTTGGGAAATGATGGTAACTTGGACTAAAGTGGTAGGAATGGAGATGGAGAAAAGTGAGCAGAATTCAGGAGCAATTCTGGAGGGCGTGTCCTCAGGACTTCCTGGTAGGGTAAAATAGGAAATGAAGAATGACTCTTAGGCTTTCATCTTGAGAAAGAAGGCTGGACAGGGGTGCATTTCACTGAAATGAAAAGACTAGGGTGAGATGAGAATCAAGGATACTTTCTTGGGCCTAAAATAAATTGCATCCAAGTAAGCCATCAAGTAAAGAGATTCTTGATAAATGTGTCAAGTTTAGGGGAGCCCTCTGGGCTGGAAATGGCAGTGTGGGAATGTGATTGCAAAGCTTGATGAAGTCACCAAGTAGTAAGTAGAAATAGCCTTGGATCTGGTGTAAAGCACCACTCTGGCAGCTAAGATTGAGAGGAAGAGAAAGAGCCAGCAGAGAAAATGGGAAGAACAGCAAATGAAGTGACAGAAAACCCAAAACTAGCATGTGTGCACCACTGTTGTCAAACTTCTGCTTTATCCTGCCCTGTTCTGGCAGCTTGCAGATAGGAAATCAGATAACTTCAGTGCTAGGAGAGATTTGGAAACAATTTAGTGCAACATCCTCATTTGAGCAAACTGGGATCTACAGAATTTTGTCCCACTTTATACTTTGTTAAGCTTGAATGTAGAAACAATTCAGTACTTTTTCTGCATTAGCTGCTTATGTTTCCCTGAATTGGGGTGTACTTCTAAACTTTTCATTTTTCTATTTACACATTGAACAGGGTAATGTGGAGCTTCATACCCATTCCTGCAGCTTCCTTCCTGTTTTTGATTTGGGTGTTGGTGACACTGACTTGATTTTCTTACTGTCAGTCATGACAACTTTTATATAGATTAGAAATCATTTAACCCTAATTTGACTATAGATAAAGAATCCAAATACTTCTAGATGTTAATCATTCGGGAGATATTACAATCTGCTCATGCTTTCTCAATTCAGTACAATAATTCAGTAATACAAGCAATTATATATATTTGGATGTGATATAATTTATGAATTTATAAAGGCCCAGCCACTACATGGTACTGTCCTTCATGGTCTTACTTCCAGTTTATGTCAAGTCAGTGAACCTACAAGTTAGGAATAGCTGCTTGACACATGCAGTTCTTATTCTGGGTAAGAAGAGTTAAATGCTGTGATTTCTAGAATACTAGGCTATAAAGTACCTCTCCCT